CATTTCCACATAAATCAAGGGGGTTTGGACATAAAATAATATCAAATATAAAACTATAGCAATATTCCAGCCATATCTCGATGGGGGGACAGCAGAAATGGGCTTCACACATTGTACACATGTGGAGAATCAAACCCGGGTCTTCAGAATAACAAGCAAACAATTTAACCACTTGGCCACCCCACTGCCCTTTAAGGTCCAATGAAATGGGATTTCCTCTAGTCTTCTGGACTAAGACAATTTCTTTGAAAGTTTCTAACCAGGTTCCAATCGCTGATACAAGGGATAGTAAGAGGTGAGGTGAGGTGAAATTGGGTTTAACGTCGTGCTTGAGAATATTTCGCTCATATGACGACGTGCATGCGTGTGTATGTGTATGTGCGGCTGCTTGTACTAGCCCAGACTTAAGCTGGTTTTATAGTGCTAGCCCACTGAGATACCATGCCGCAGTGAAGCAGGAATACCCCACTCAGACACATTATACTGACTCCAACCCGACCAGTCCTTGTTGTACCCATTAATGCCGAGCGCCAGGCAGGGACCAACAAGTACCATATTTTAACGTCTTTTGGGATGATGCTGCCGGGGATCGAACCCCGCGACCTTCCGCTGTCCGGGAGGACGCTCTAACCACTACACCATGGAGGCGGTCAGGGATAGTAGGACAGTAATTAATGGGCCAAAGTTACTCATTTAGAAAACAAACAAGATTGACTTTACTTAGTGACTTGCAAACTGCCATGAAGCCACATTATACTGGGTTATCTAGACCTGCTCACTGGCTGATACTTGGTCCCAGGTCTGTAAATTACACTGCAAATTCTATACTGAAATTAGAAATTTTCTCAAAAAAGTCCTCAAGACATGCAAACTAAAACATTAAAAACAATTTTAATTTGAGCTATATCACGATTTTTTCCAATTTGCTAGCCTAGTTTATCTATCTCAGATATATGCTTGTCATCTCTAAATACTGTCGAAGGAAGAATAAGCATGTTACAATGGTATTTTTTGTCACATTATGACTATTCATTATAAAGTATAGTGAGTGAGTTGGATTTTAACAATATTTTAACAAAATTAGAGTAATTTTGGCTAATCATTATTGTGAGAGTGAGTGAGTGAGCGAGTTGGATTTTAACATTATTTTCACAATATTCCAGTAATATCAAGGAGGGGACACCAGGAGTGAGTGAGTTTGATTTTATACGCTTTTAGCAATATTCCAGCAATATCACGGTGGGAGACACCAGGAATGGGCTTCAGACATTGTACCCATATGTCGATCCGAACCCTGGGCTTTGGCGTGATAAGCAGACACTTTAACCACTGGGCTACCTCACTACTCCACCACACACATTATTATGATTATGATGATAGTGTACAATGTACATGCCAAGTTCTTGGATAACAAATAAAAATCTGTATAAAATATACTCGGCAGAGTCACTAAAGAGAACATAAATAACTGTGCATACCTAGGACAGGGTGTCGACAATCACCATTTTAGAGCTGGACTAACACTCAGTCACTGAATATATATAATTTTGATAGCAACAAATAATTCCACTTAAATTCGAAAGAGCCCCAGTGAGATGGGAAATTAACTAGGAAATCTAGACTTGCTTCATTTAGGGCTCTAGCAGGAGAGCAAGGCAGCAGGGAAAGTAATGTGGTTCAGGGACAGTGAGAGACTATTTAAGAGCCTACTTTCTCCACATGTACCTAACAACTTTTTAAAAAATATGTGTTTTGGTTATCTTAACTACTGCCATATTTCTTTGTATCAAATTACATAAAAAATCTTGCTGAGGCAACATAAACATGAAAACATGCTAAACTGGCTCATTATTACATGGACCTTGTAAGATAAAACACGCATCTAGCATCGTGTTCTCGCAAAGTAACACACGGTAAATGAGACCTCTGTATTAATCACACTTTACAAAGCACCTACATTTTCCTACTGCTCACGATGGAAACTGAAACCAGCACTCAAAGCATCATCCTGAATCAGTGAGTGAGTGAGTGCCTCGGCTAAAGTGAGTGAGTTGAGTTTTCCAGCGCACTCAGCAATATGGCGGCAGTCTGTAAATAATCCAGGACCAGACAATCCGGGAATCAACAGCATGAGCATCGATCTACGTAATAGGGATACAATGACATGTGTCAACCAAGTCAGCGAGCCTGACCACCCGATCCCACCTCGGCTAGAAATAAGTCAAAAATATCAAACCGAATGACAACAGAAATAGGCTCAACACACTATACCCATATGGGCAATAAAACCTGGGTCATTGGCATGGTGAACCAATGCTTTAACCACTGGGCTACCTCACTGCCCCTCTTGCATTCAGGATTGCTTGGACTGACTGACTGACTGAGTTTGGTTTTACGCCGCTTTTAGCAATATTCCAGCAACATCACGGCGGGGGACACCAGAAATGGGCTTCACACATTGTAATCATGTGGGGATTCGAACCTGGGTCTTCGGCGTGACGAGCCAACGCTTTAACCACTAGGCTACCCCATCGCCCCCAGTAGTATAGCTTGGAATTCAGGGGTAAGGAAATGAAACTTTAAATGAAAAGGTTTTTTGAAATTCCAGATTTGGCACCGCTCTATAAACCAACCACAAACATGAAACCTCCCACTCCATCAACTCACCTTCTATCATTCATATGCAGGGCTACAGATAAGGGGCGTACAGGCGTAATGTAAGCCTCAAAATCAATTAAGTACGACATAATATAAGATTTCAAGCGTATCGTGTACGCACATAAATACCTTTGAACGTCTAACATTTAATTTCCGTGCGTATTGTGCAAATGGAAATCTATTTCGGATAAATACTTGCAGTCAAGAGTTACTTTTACGAAACACGATTTGACACACGAGGAAACCCCGACAGTAGGAATCCCTTGCGTTGCCATGCAACGATATGCATCACTATTTTTCGATTGGCTAAAAACTACACTGTTCCTATTCATATCCAGTCGGACCTGACATTTCGCGCATCACACGGTCGCTCAGTTATTTCTCACACGTCTTCAAATATAAATACATGGTTGGAAATAGTGATCGATGAATCGTCCAGACAAACCACATCACCAACTCACTCACACAAAAACATGTCAGTACTCCTTCAAAATTCTCAGTACACCTCCACTTGCAATATGATGTGTAAGTACACTCACACCCCCAAAAGTTATCTGGAGCCCTGCATATGTGTTAGAAATAAATATTATCAAAAAAAAGAAATTCCACTTGAAAACTACAAATCTGCCATATTTAGGAATCAGAAAAGACAGTTCTACAGGTTTAATAAATCTCGCCCACGTACAGCTCTTGTGGCAAGAAGGAATCACCTCGACCAATCAAACTTCTTGTTACAAAACTAGGTCACATGCTTCACTGTCCTAATTCCACATAAATATTTAAAATCTAATTAATGAACTCAGAGGTAAAGACAGATCTGATCTATATCCCTGTTGATGTAAATATAAACAATGAAATCCTGTGCTAAGCAGTCATGAAATGATAGTCCTACAACAATCACAAAAACTAAAATATTACAAAGATTGAGTATGATGGAATATTTTACTGACATAAATTCCAGTCATTGCTAAGGATCTTATTATCATGGTCACGTGATTGATGTTTTTCATCAAAGACAATCTGGTGGCTAATGGTCCTAACATCAACTCTAAGGTGTACTAGCACATGGAAATCCAACAAGTTAATTAAATTCTTAAGTACATTAGTTAATTTTGTGTAATTATTCAGAAGATGGACAGGTGTTTGGGACAGGTTTCAAGAATCATTGCCTTTGTATGCATTTATGCATGGATTACCTACAAATATAGCATCCTGAATATAATTTAGAAACAGACCATGAATAAATAAAAAACTTTTTGTCTTGAGAAGTTAAAACTTGTTTTTTTTAACAATAGTTTATGTAAGGTGTTACTAATGACACAATTTTCATAATGATAATAACTAGCAATTCTTCTCATCGACAATATTTCTGATTATCGATCTTTTTAGCCCGTCATACTTTTTGTAAACCAGTATTGCTGTTATCTTTGAGAAAGGTTTTCATGCCAAAATCTTCAGTGCAGCTACTTAATTCTTTTTAGCTTTAAGTTTAGCTTGCGAACGCTATCTAATACCGTATTCATCGATTCTAGACATACCACAATGGGTTGTAAATATTTGATTCAACAAATTGGTTTATTTTTCAAATGATTTTATTCTAACTGGATTACTTACATTCTAAAATGAAATTGATTGATATTCTCTTATTTACAATTTGTCTCAGGAACAATTGTGGAAAGTGTTTTTACCACGCTGCAATTCCTATAAAGGGTATTCATGAGAATCCTTTCATTATTACTTGAAGTATAATTGCCTAAATACACATATTCCCTTTTATCAAACACAATTTGTACTAATTATCCATAGTTACATTTAATATCAATTACTCTTTAAGCATAATAACGTTTATTTGTCAATAATTGCAATGCCTTGCTACAGACACATAATATCACAAGGAAACTATATCCCCCGGACCTTTCTGACAGGAGTACTAAAAGCTGAGTCAGCACAATCCCATCCCACCTGACCTAGTTATCACCTCAACGTATTTGACACGATCACGGGTTCTTACTAACAACATTAGAGCTTAAATATCATCACATATTACAAACATAACGGGTGCAATTACATTGAAAAACAATGTGAACGGAAAGACAACACTAGACGGTGTCTTATAAATGACATGCTACCATACCACAGTATATAACATCGTTTATCAACAGGACGGTGTGTGTAGTACTCGGTGAACTGTGGCAACTACAGCTTAACCGCCGACTGCAGTTATCCAAAGACCCCGGGAACCTTACGTTTCCATATGCGGGTCTCCAAAAATGTCGCGGAAACCTTCGAAACACACGTCAAACAAACAAAATCCCGTCCGAAAACAACAAGTTGAAACTCACCTCACAAGTCACATCCCACAGTCTGCCATAATGTTGACGTCATCCAATATTACTTTCCCGTGTTTTGATTGGATGACTGTCAACACGCGCCGTTTCGCGCGTTTTCGGTCATCGGTATGCGAAGCTATAACTGGGTCATTGGTACGTATTGGTCTATTTGTGCTACATACCACATAAATTTACCATGGACATTTGTGTCGCATATCATACGCAGGAATTACAATAAAAGTACAAAACGTATCTAATAGATAAAAACAACTTAGACCAATTACCCAAATGTCAAAATATATATTAAAAAATTATGATTGATACATAAATTACATATGGAACGGACATTTCCTTCAAAAACACAACGAATGAAGATTTCACAGAAATTTTATCAAACTGCATGAAAATAAATGGATACAAGAAAGAAACTGTACACATTTTTCAGCAGTTATAGAATTGTTTTACGAATAATTTTGTTTTAACTTAAACATCATTCTCAATAGCAGACCCCCCTTTAAGAGTGTAGATCAAGTGTAAGTGACAGTATTCAGTGCATTTGTCTTGTTGGTTGGTTTGTTGTTTTACGCCGCACTCAGCAATATTCCAGCTATATGACGGCGGTCTGTAAATAACTTAGTGTGGACCAGACAATCCAGTGATCAGCAGCATGAGCATCGATCTACGCAATATTGGGATACGATGACATGTATCAACCAAGTCAGCGAGCCCGACAACCCGATCCCGTTAGCCGCATTTTACGACAAGTATGGGTTGCTGAAGACCAATTCTTACCCGGATCTTCACGGGTAGTTTGTCTTGTACACTATTCCAGTTTACCTTCAAGTCTCAAAGGTACATCTCGCCCTTTTTCTTGTGCTATTTGTAAATATAGGTCATTTATGGCATTATTTGTTAATGTGCACCCGTCAATGCTGCATTGAACATGTGGTCCAAGGAACGAAGTTCACCTTTTATACGTCTTTTATCCTTTTAATAAAAATTGAAAAAAAAACACAAAACATTCGAATCAATCTATAGAAATGTATTCGTATTTACTCATTCGAAAAAAAATTAAATCATATATGTTATGCAAAAAATACCTGAATCACAAGTGTCTTTGGGGTTTTTTTTCGAAAGGTTCTTACAAACGTTACCGACAGTTTTGATATATATATAGTGTTGAAAAGACATGCCATGTTTTGCAATTTGAACAACGAACTATATATATACCTTTCATAGTTTGTTGAAAAGCCGTGTCATGCTTAGCTATCTTAACTGTTGCGTCAGTAGATAAAAAAATAGGATGTCAAACATTCAGGATAAAGTACTATATCTATAAATGTAACTGGATAAGAGATAATCCTTAAATATTTTCATTTCAAACCCGCCAGTAAGTCAATGTGCTTGTATTGATAAACTTTGAACGTGCTTAGCACACACATAATCTTTCTTTCACTTATTATGAAAACAAAATTCACAAGCCTTAGTACAAGTTTCTTGGAAATCATCATGAGTAGTTCAAGATATAGGGCCATGAACTCGGCGCATCGCCAAACAAATAAAGTATTTATTTAAGCATTGTTGTGCTATGTAAACTGAAATCAAACCCTCGATGCATGGAGTTTCAAACAGACTCTGGATGTGCTTCTTCCCTGGGTTTTCATACCTGCACATGTCGCGTATAGGTGTTCTGTTTGATGTAAATTGATACGTAACTTTGCAGCCGGGCGGTGTATGACCCGGCCATCATCCGTGACAGCGAATAGGGTCACAACGACGTCACGACACCCCAGCTATAACATCACGACGACGGATTCATGCTTGGAACTGGCAGACAAATGGCCAGGTATCAAAATACTTATAGCCTTGCTCCAAGGCTGTACTGAATGCTGAGTCCATGGATGTATAGTAATTCTATCCTTCGAAGAGGCAAACCTAGAAGGACCCCAGTCTGTTATTTTTTATTTTTTAGACATTTTCACTTAAACTTTGAATTATAACCTTATAGACTTGTGCAAGTCTACAAAATACTGGGCGGCGTTCGCAAAGTGATCTCAGCGCTGCGATTGTCGACAGTCTGTGTTAATTCAGGTGAGTTTCGATCGCCTTAACTCTAAGATCGCTTTGAGGTAGGGAACTTTATTCGACACCGTGGAATCATTCCCGACATAGTCTCATTCGTCAGCAATCATTTTGAGTCTGCAAGCAGAGGCGGATCCAGGTTTTTGGAGAATTGGGGAGGATTTGGAGTGCGCGCGCACATAAGACATGTAGTTCAAACCACACTCACTTAGTTTGACTCTGCATATATATTTACTGATATGGTGCTAAAAATATCAGTCCATATTAATTACTCACAGCGAGAGAGATTTTGTGCCAAGATGGTGTCCAAAAAGGATGTGGTGCACCAAAAAGAAGTACCCCATTGGGATTGCGGGTTAGAAAAGTCAAAAAACAACCTTGTCGTACGAGACGACCCCCTGAATCGTAGTCCAGCATATAACTAGACGACTTTGCACTATACCAAGGTGTGCTCGATGTAGGACTTGGCTGGATTACGAGTTTATTCATATGAACTACCTGAATCGGTGATCAGAATCGGTGACTTGGTTGTGTGTCAATGTATTGTACGACGGTAATAAGACCCGTGGAGGTCCGGGTTAGAATTGGTCTTCAGCAACCATACTTGTCGTAAGTTACGACTAACGGGATCGGGTTGTCAGGCTCGCTGACTTGGTTGATACATGTGTTCGTATCCATGTTGCGTAGATCGATGCTCATGCTGTTGATCACTGGGTTGTCTGGTCCAGACTCGAGTATTTACACACCGCCGCCATATATAGCTGGAAAATTGATGAGTGCGGCGTTAAACAACAAACCAGCCAGCCAGCTAACCTAGATCACCCAGAACAGGAATATAACTGGTGTGTTAAACAACAAACACAAACCACTCTTTATTTCTGGACTGGAGTCAGTTAGTTATACGTCGTCATGTATGAGATACTGTGGCGTTGAATAGGGCTGCGCAATATAACCGGTTTACCGTTATTTACCGGTTCAGACATGAAAACGATACGTATTGCGATACGCTGATCGAAAACCGGTATTTTGACTTGCATTCGGAAAACTTCGTAACACTCGGAAATCTTCGGATATGTCCTTGTTTCATTTGTGCCAAATATTATTCACATTTTTATTTTATCATGATTAAAAGTTGTTATTACAGCTTAATCAAGCCTAGTGTTTAGTTGTGTTTTTGCTCTATAAATCAAGAATTAACTCGATTATAAGTAGTTTTTTGTTTAAAAATACTTCATGCAATATATTGCAATACATATCGCAATACATGCTTTCGCATCGCAATATATCGCAATATGAAAATTCTCTGCAATACCCACCCCTAGCGTTGAATAGAAATCAACCAGACTCAATTAAGTGACAGCGTTTGATCCTCGTTACTTCCTCTGCCATTGATCAAGCCGACAAGACAATCCATGCAGGGCTCAAAGGTGTCATAGAACAATCACTTCTTATTGGAATATCCACAGGTGCGATTACAGTACCAGATAGGTTCAAAATATCGATTGTTGAAACCAACACTAAACTGGTTATCGAATATCGATAGTTTCAATAAACAGTGAAAACTATGCGGATACTCACTACCCCAATGGTCAATACCCCGTTTTCGCCTTGAGCGTTATGGACCGTCTCCGTGGTGTAGTGGTTAGAGCGTCCGCCCGGAGAGCGGAAGGTCGCGGGTTCGATCCCCGGCCGCGTCAAACCAAAAGACGTTAAAATGTGGTACTTGTTGGTCTTTGCCTGGCGCTCGGCATTTATGGGTACAACAAGGACTGGTCGGCTCGGAGTCAGTGTAATGTGTCTGAGTGGGGTATTCATGCTTCACTGCGGCATGGTATCTCAGTGAACTAGCACTATAAAACCAGCTTAAGTACAAGCAGCCGCACATACACACGCATGCACGTCGTCATATGAGCGCAATATTCTCAAGTACGACGTTAAACCCATTTCACCTCACCTTGAGTGTTATACGACTACCAAACCTCACACCTTAACCAGGCTATGATAAGAGTTATCTCCCTTAAAGCCCCTACGCCTTCCCCTTTGATCTACTGCGTCAATGCTATGGCAGATACGTTCTATGTTTGACACAATATTAGATAACCCATGCAATTACAGGGAAATCTGCACAGAATACCATCGCAATAGGCGTATGATTGTAACAAAAGTATCGGGTAGTGCTCGTACATATATACTCAGCAGCAAAGTAAACGTCTTTACGAATTCAAATTTAGATAGGCACTGTAGTCAAATCATTACAGAAATGGACATAATAAGCGGATCAAGAACATTTTTTGTGTACAATATCTTGACACATCAATGAATAACTCAGCACAATTTCAAGACATTACGTGAACGTTTGCAGTCCATTCAGACTCTTGACTTCAGTGTGACCACCACGAGCGGCAAAAACTGCAGCAAACTGGAGTGCACCAATCGATTGATGAAGGCCATTGGCACCTTGAACCACACTCTGAGAAAGATCTGGCGCAATAAATCGGCTGTGTTCGGCGTGGTATGACATTATTCAGTCTCCTCTGAATTTCATCCCAAAGATGTTCAATTTGGTTTAAATCAGGACTAAGGGCTGGCCACTGCATAATGTTGACACCGTTCTGCTGTAGGAAGTCCCGTGTAGCTCTGGCAGTATGGGCCCGGGCGTTATGCTGGAAAATGTTGTTCCGGTGACGTGCGAAATGTGGTATGACGTGGGGTCTGAGAGCTTGGTCGATGTAGCGCACCGCCCTGATGCCGCCTCCTCTCCCTGGACCAAGGTTCTGGAACACCACAGGACCCACTCTCTGGTTCAGGCCTATTCCACCTCATACCATGATGTTTGCACCTCCCATGAGTCTCTTTCCATAACACATTGGTCTGAGTAACGCTGGCCACGTCGTCGCCATATTCTTGTTCTGCCATCTGCAGTTGATACGCAGAACCGACTCTCATCTGTGAACAGAACAGTTCTCCATTGCCTGTATCGCCAGTTTTGGTGTTGTAGGGCAAACTGTAGACGTTCACGCAGATGACGAGGGGTGAGGATAGGTCCACGGTAAGGTCTACGGCAATGGAGGTTCCCGCTGTTTAGACGTCGGCGTACTGTATCAGTACTGATTGGTCTTTCGTGTGTTCCCACTGTCTGGCGTGCTGTTTCGGATGCCTGCTTGAAGGGATTCTGTACGTCCTGTCGCAGAACACGGCGGTCTTGTCGTCTTGTGGTTACCCTTTGTCTGCCAGTACGGGGGTGATCATTTGTGGTGTTGGTTGCCCGGAAACGTTGCTGCAGCCCGTGGATGATCCGAACGTTGACCTGGAAGTGATTGGCAACGGCTTGTGCAGTGTGGCCAGCTTCAAGTCTTCCTAGCGCCTGGTTCCTCTGAGCTGTCGTGAGTCGCGGCATCCCGCTAATGTGAATGTTTTAACCAGGTTTGGGGGTGCATTTTATAGGGCTGGTCCTTGTGAACAGCACGTGCATGAGTTGCATGAAAAACATGGAGAACACCGTACCATCTCCAAGATCAGGTTGCGTTTTGAGACCATTTCCTGGGTTCCATTCTGAGTTTGGGAAGGAATGTCTTTGCTCAGGTAAAGTTGGAGATGTTGTCAAAAATATACAATCAAAACATTAAATGAGTTACAGTTATCCGTTTTTGCGAAGAAAATTCCAAACTGGCGTTTACCTAGGCTGTGACTGTGAGCGGGATAAAGTTAGTTTGATGCCTTTTGTCAATGTCCCAGCAAGACAGCTGCTACTCGGGACAACACAAATAGCTTTGACACATGCTCCCATATTAGGAATCGTGTGGTATCTCAAAAGCAAGTGGCTTTGATCGAAATGTACTTTTGTTCACCAAGCAGTAACTGGGTACCCGGTAGGGTCAGATGCACCTCTAAGGGTAACATCAGGATAAATATTCTCTAACTGTAGTTGGGATTCGGGAATGGTTCAGGGTTTTTCATCCCGCTAGAATAGAAGTACAGTGAAGAGAAATAGAACTGATGAACAGAAAATGACTAGGTTTGATACATGTCATCGTATCCCAACTGCATAGATCGATGCTCAAGATGTCAATCACTGGATTATCTGGTCCAGACGCGATTATTTACGGGCCGTCGTTATATCACATACACACAAACACGCACACGCACGCAGGTACGCACGCACGAACGTCAAAGAAGAATTCCAAGTGTGTTTCATATATACATATGTTCTTATTTGACGCAACACCTTCCCACCTGTCGGGGAATTCCAGAACGTTTGAACATTGTTAAACGTTGTTACAATACATTCGCTGTTGCGTTAACCGCATTTTATTCTCATGGTAATATCAACTACTCCCCTTTTGTACTCTCATACTTCCCAGAGTACACGCAGTTAGACAGGGTCCCGGTATGCCTGCTATAGCTGCGCAATGAACCTTTACGTTTACTTAGCTCATGTAAATACACATCCCCAAACCGTCGCCATGGATCTACGGGTCACTTAATGTCTTTGACAAGCACTGTGTTGCTGCATGCTTTGGTGTTAGACTCGCTCTATTTAGCAATGCATGCAAGTTAATTCCGGTCATTAAACAACACTTTTTCTGCGCTAAGTAGAGAACATAAATAGCTGTCTATTGTAAAGAGAAAACGCTTCATACCGACTCTCCACACAACGTCAAAACAAGAGTGAGTGGGTATCGTTTTACGCCGCTTTTAGCGATATTCCAGCAATATCACGTCGGGTGACCGGAAATGGGCTTCACACAGTGTACCCATGTTGGGAATCGAACCCGGATCTTCGGCGTGACGAGCCAACGCTTTAACCTCTAGGCTACCCCACAGCTAGTCACACAATGAAAATATCGAAATATATATCTTTGTTTCACGCGTATCTATCCTTATCATTGAACTATCTGCGACAATTGTAAATCATGATCTCATTCTCACACACTGTGCTGTCTGTTAGTGGATCGTGTAAGGGGCGGTTTGGTAGCCTAGTGGCTGAAGCGCTCGTCAGTCACGCCGAAGTCCCGGGTTCAATTCCTCGCATGGGTTGAATGTTGCTATATATGGCAGGACGAGTATTGGACGGCATGACGTATGGCATTATTTGAATTTCTTGAGAGCTATACATTTTATGTTAGTCGCTGATGCGTTTGCTCTTTAACGCAAAACACCCTGGTTCGATTCCCCAAATGAGTACAATGGGGTCTAGCTGGTGCCTCCGTCGAGATAATGGCTTGTATGACTTACCATACTCATACTCTTACTCATTACGGCCGGAGTGAGAGTGGGTGAGTGAGTTTAGTTTTACGCCGCACTTAGCAATATTCCAGCTATATGGCGGCGATCTGTAAATAATCGAATCTGGACCAGACAATCCAGTGATAAACAGGATGAGCATCGATCTACGCAATTGGGAACCGATGACATGTGACAACCAAGCCAGCGAGCCTGACCACCCGATCCCGTTAGTCGCCTCTTACGACAAGCATGGGTTACTGAAGGTTCATTCTCACCCGGACCTTTACGGGTGCCTGAGTTAGAATACTCTTTGATATGTCTCTGATGTTTATTTTTATGGGGCGGTGGCGTAGCATAGTGGTTAAAGAGTTCGCTCGTCACGCTTACGACCCGGGTTCGATTCCCCACATGGGAACAGTGCGTAAAGTCCGTTTCATGCAGGCAACCCCCGTCCTGATATTTCTGGAATACTGGTAAGAGCGGCGTAAAACTAAACTCACTCACACTCACTCACTACAACTCTCCTTAATATACAATCCTAAAAACAATCAAGTAAGGATTTTCTTTTCATTCACTCTATTTTTATGTTCCCGCCGTAATGATACTAATATCTCGCACACCCGTTCATATTCGGGCGCTATTCTCTGAATCCCGACTTCAGAGCATCCGGCCTCCTAAGAATTACAAACACCGGAGCAGGATATTAAACTGTCGTAAAATTCCAAAGATACGTTTATATTTTATTTTAAAGTTAACATTATGTGAACAATGTACCCGGAATAACTAACAACGCAGTCCATTTGTACCGAAATGAGCAGCCAAGGTTGCTCTGTCCTTGACGTAAAGCTATCAAGCACAATCGTGCTCTTTGAAAATTAAGCTGTATGTAATCGAAGATGAGGGATAGAAGGTTTGATATGTTAAGAGCCTATTTGAGTTTGTATTGCCAACCCTTCGCCTCGACACATATGAGTTATCTTGTATTAATATCATGTTAATGTACGACGTCATGTGGTGACATTGGCGTTTGCTTTTCAATGGACTGGTTTAACCATGTTGAATTCGTTGTTGCCTGCTACGTTCAAATTCATTTTTTAATTTTTAAAGAAACTACATGACACTGGATCATATTTGATGCATGGAAATTGGGTAGATATTCCGCGATTTGAAGCAAGTATACCAGCGTGTTAATGCGTGTGTACTGACGGCAGAATTGTGTACTTAAGATATGGTTATGTATCCTTATTACTGGTAAACATTTTTATAGAGGCGGCCTTTTACAGATGCAGGCATTTCAGGATTTCAAAACTAGCCAGGGCCAGTCATAACTAGTACTTCTAAATATATTCGGGAATAAGTAGACTAAAAACTAGTCCCTGAAATGAACATAATTTACAGAAAAAAAGTTCATAGTAAAAAATTTGTTATAATATAATGAAGAGGAGACCTGAGACTTTCTTCATTTTCAGGAGCTGTGGAAATGTAGACTTGCCACTTTTTCTTAACTTGCGTGGGCTCTCTTGGATATGTTTGCTTCAGGGTCTAGCCAGGTCTTGTTATAATCAGAACCTCATTTCGCCGTGGACCGTTGCAAACAGGATTTCAATACAGTAGCTTGTTGTAACCAGTACCTCATTATAAACAGGACATATAACCAGGACATGAGTTTAGCCAGGGATTGCTATAATCCGGACACGGGCATGGACTGAACAACTCAATGCAGTAAGGGATTGTGATAATCAGGACATCAAGATGGCGAGGGATTGTGATAGTCAGGACCTCAAGATGGCGAGGGATTGTGATAATCAGGACATCAAGATGGTGAGCGATTGTGATAATCAGAACCCCAAGATGGCGAGGGATTGTGATAATCAGAACCTCAAGATGGCGAGGGATTGTGATAATCAGGACCTCAAGATGGCGAGGGATTGTGATAATCAGGACCTCAAGATGGCGAGGGATTGTGATAATCAGGACATCAAGATGGTGAGGGATTGTGATAATCAGGACATCAAGATGGCGAGGGATTGTGATAATCAGGACATCAAGATGGCAATCAGGACATCAAGATGGTCAAGAGAGGGATTGTGATAATCAGGACATCAAGATGGCAAGGGACTGTGATAATCAGGACATCAAGATCAGGACCTCAAGATGGCGGGATTGTGATAATCAGGACCTCAAGATGGCGAGGGATTGTGACAATCAGGACATCAAGATGGCGAGGGACTGTGATAATCAGGACATCAAGATGGCGAGGGATTGTGATAATCAGGACATCAAGATGGCGAGGGATTGTGATAATCAGGACCTGAAGATGGCGAGGGACTGTGATAATCAGGACATCAAGATGGCGAGGGATTGTGATAATCAGGACCTGAAGATGGCGAGGGATTGTGATAATCAGGACCTGAAGATGGCGAGGGATTGTGATAATCAGGACCTGAAGATGGCGAGGGATTGTGATAATCAGGACCTGAAGATGGCGAAGGATTGTGATAATCAGGACCTGAAGATGGCGAGGGATTGTGATAATCAGGACCTGAAGATGGCGAGGGATTGTGATAGTCAGGACCTCAAGATGGCGAGGGGTTGTCTTAGTCAGGACCTCAAGATGGCGAGGGGTTGTCTTAGTCAGGACCTAAAATTTACACCAGGTTCATTATATCTGTCAGATCGTTATAAAAGTATTGTAATTTACAAGGAATGTCCTCTTAACTGTGAAAAGGGCGGAAGGAAGAGTTTCCGGAATAACTGGGGTTTCCCGACATGTATAACATACATAACTGACATATTTAATATGCATATGGACATATGCATCACTGATATACCATCACCTCGATAATCTATTATCCCCTGAGATCACCTTACACAGCAACCAGTTTCATGTTAATTCATTTACCGTTATACTTCCATGATCGATATCAATCACAAACCTACCCGTAGCGTTCACCAGATTGTGACGTCACACAGGTGTGTTCGCGACAAGTTGAAGGGGATATGGGTGGGGTTTTCCATGACCTGCCTTTTACAGGTGTATTATAACTGCTACATGTTTATTGTACAGGTGTGGTTTAACAATTACGTTTTGATGGCATCTTCTTGATAGTAAAATGAATGAGGGTTCAGGGAATGGTCTTTAATCCACACGCCTTCATGTGTGTTGAGGGCGATATAGGGTGTCCTAACAATTAAATTTGAAAATATCGAGTGGGAAATTGGTGTTGGAGTCGACGACTGTTGTTTGTCGTGAGTGAGTGAGTGAGTTAGGTTTTACGCCGCTTTTATCAACCTTGATAATAAAAATATGGGCATTTGTAATGCACTGAATTCCACACCACGGAGGGGCATGCTCAAAGCGCTACAATCTGATTATGATGACCCCGGATAACCCAAGCTGCCTGAGAGGCGCGAGAAGGTTATAGTCACATGACTTATCGCACCGGGTACCCATTTCCTGCTGGGTGAAGAGAGGCAATTTCTTAACAAACTTGCCTAAGGTGAGACCACATGTGTCACATGTGCTTCGTTTTGAGGCCAGGAATGAAGTCCTAGAAACTCTCAGGAGTCAAGCTGCCAAACACGGTCACCCATCCATTGACTCTCCGAGCTCAACGTTGCTTAACTTCACCTGATTTGTGACCTGAGCTCTATGCACAGAACCACACACCACCAATATTCCAGCAATATCACGACGGCGGACACCTGAAATGTGCTTCACACATTTTATAGGAATCGAACCCGGGTCTTTAGAGTGACGAGTTAACCACCAGGCTACCCCACCGCCCCCTGTTGTTTGTGACTGTAGCCTTTGTGCATGCTGTCTCAGTGGGTGCTTGTTTAACGCCGCACTCAACAATATTCCAGCTATATGGCAGCGGTCTGTAAATTATCGAGTCTGGACGAGACTATCCAGTGATCTACATCATGAGCATCGATCTACTCATTTGGCTGACTGACTGACTGAGTATGGTTTTACGCCGCTTTTAGCAATATTCCAGCAACATCACGGCGGGGACACCAGAAATGGGCTTCACACATTGTACCCATGTGGGGATTCGAACCCGGGTCTTCGGCGTGACGAGCCAACGCTTTAACCACTAGGCTACCCCACTGCCCCCTACTCATTTGGGATACGATGACATGAGTCAACCAAGTCTGCGAGCCTGACCACACGATCCCGTTAGTCGCCTCTTACGACAAGGATGGGTCACTGACGACCAATTCTAACCCGGATCTTCACGTGTCCTGTCTTCTTCGATAACCTCCAGGGTATACGTTCCGATAAATCTCCACTTGATGTATGTATGTGGGAATTCCAACCCGGTCTTTGGTGTTTTTACCACGAGGCTACCTCACCATCCGACGACAAATAATGCAACGATTTCAAATCTCAATGTCCCTCGTCGGTGAGAAACATTATGCCCTGACGGGGTAAAAGAATGCCCTTACCCATGTATACTCGTCACAAAACAGATGCGATGGATCCTTCTTCATCTATTTTTATATAAATTGGTTCCGTAGCCAAGCGACTTGATCTATACACCCGTGCATTAATTAAGCACCACCCTATTTTGAAAATAAGATGGAATGCTACAGAAAAGTGAATCAAATGAATTAATATGTAGTAAGTTAAAGAAGCTTTATTCATTGACAGTTTTACAAATACCATAACCTTTTCTATTCTTTATGAAAGAACATGTTGATGAAAATGTGATGGGACTGAATTTTTACCCAAAATAACTATTCCCCTCCTGCTCAGACTACACAATTAAATAAATAAATAAATAAGTTTGGACTGAAAATAACAATTCTGTTATATACCAAGATGACATGTACACACCAAGAAAGCTCTAATGGTGCACAATCAGGGAGAACCCTAATGTCAAAGATTCAGACTTTTTCCCAACAATTCAGATTGCTAATTGAAAAAAACCCTAAAAGAAGTCCACATTATTAGATATTTCAAAATAAGGTAACTTGTTTTAGGACAGAAAAACACGTTTTAAATATAGGTAATTATCCTAATTAAAGTACATGGTAATTTCAATGATGTTTTCTTGTTTTGAAATGTTAAATGCTTGCTCTATCAAAGTCTAAAGGTTATTTTTGGAAAGAGTTAGAATTTCATTTCAGACAAATTAATTGGTAAAAATACAGGGTGGTGCTTATTTCATTCACAGATGTATACATCATCATCTCAATAAAAATAACTTAATGCTATATGAATCAGTGGAAAATAATATTTTTTATTCATTTTTACCCGCCCCTTTCTTGTTGGTTAGTGAGTGAGTTTAGTTTTACGCCGCTTTTAGCAATATTCCAGCAATATCACGGTGGGGGCACCAGAAATGGGCTTCACATATTGTACCCATGTGGGGAATCGAACCCGGGTCATCGGCGTGACGAGCGAACGCTTTAACCTCTATAGGCTACCCCACCGCCCTCTTGCTGGTTAAGACCCGTGAAGGTCCGGGTTAGTCAGTAACCCATGCTTGTAAGAGGTGACTATAACGGGATCGGGTGGTCAGGATCGCTGACTTGGTTGACACATGTCATCGGTTCCCAATTGCGCAGATCGATGCTCAGGCTGTTGATCACTGGATTGTCCGGTCGAGACTCGATTATTTACAGACCGCCGCCATATAGCTGAGTGCAGCGTAAAACTAAACTCACTCACTCACTCTTGCTGGTTAAGGCTGGTGATAAGAAACACGGATGGCGTTAAAACTTGACACATTTGTGCAGGTCCACGGGTTGAGAGACTAGTGATCGCGACCAATGCACTGTGGGATTCAAACACATAAGGCCGGGTGGGACAACTTAGGAATGGCCAGCGAGTCCTAACTTGACACACAGAAGGAAGCGAGCTACAAAGACATAATTTATATCATTGGAAAGATCTCGAGGAGATGAACCCAAAAAGTTCATGTGCCAGTGCGCTCACGTGTTCATAAGCTCACAAATGGGCTCTGAAAATGCATTTCTGCAGAAATTACTGGCAGAATTAATTTTTTCCGCAGAAATTTCTGGCAGATTTTTTTTTTACCGCAGAAATTTCTGGCAGAATTTTCTTTTCCCGCAGAAATTTCTGGCAGAAATTTTCATTTCACTACCAGAAATGTCTTAATTGAAAATGATTAGACACCATCTTTGGATAATTCAATATGGACTTTCTTCAAATGATGTTGTTTTCTCCTGTAAACAACTTCAAGTGGGAGGGGAAATGGTTCCCAGAAGTAAATACTCGTAATGGCTAATTATTTGGGAGAGTGTGTATTTGACCGTCCTTTCACCTGTATCAGATAATTTATGAGACACCTGCGTGTGGGCCACTTCTTGTTTATTCTAGGTAATTAGCAATCAGTGTGATCAACTGATCTGGATCTGATCTTTTTGGGTTTGGGGTATTTGCATCAGAATGACAATAACTGATTCATGATCAGGAAACTAAAACTATATACACTTCTGTTATTACCTCAAAGACCGGTTTGAGGAATTTAAGCAATTCATACCATAATGACATTAGATGTTTTGGTTCAGTTCCGTGTTGGACCTATTCGATACACTATGTTTCAGGTGTACGAGGTCAGATAAAGTAGGTTGTGTATATATATATACAAATTATACAACAACAATTATACAACAACGTCACCAGAGGTCACCATGATCTGAATAACATACTCATGAGTGATCGTGATACGTTCAATACATTTATGATAGTTTGCATTTCTACAATGTGCACAATAAGCTATTTGTGTCAATTAACACTTGACTCAACTACTGTACAATACAAATCATTATTATACATTTCTTATAGTACCCTTTTTATTTCCGTCTGTGGTAAAGTATTGTCTATATAGAATAGGATATGTAACAAACAGCAGTACTCACGTTGTTTCACAACACCATGCATCTTATCGCACAGGTATCCAGTCCGTCTTGGTTGTGCCCTGAACATGCATCCTTAACACACACACGCACGCACACATTCTCGTGCTAAGCGCCCACATCGTGTTCTCTCGCACATGCACATGCGTCGACACGGATACAAATCTTCCCACTACTGTTAACTATGTTTTGATGTAGATATTTTGGGCAATTGATATCAGTTTCATTTATAGGCAATTTGAAAACATTATATATATGAAATTTTCTCGAATTTTCCTTTCACTAACTAGACAAATGTTTTTGTCTTTCCTTTTTTACCCTTTCCTCTTCTGTTTGTTTGATTATTTCTGTTATGAATGTGACAAGAAAAGAATGCCCTTGTTTTGTTTACGTATTATATCATTAAGTTATGATGTTGGTGTGTGCCTATGCAGTTTTGCATCCTCAAGACCCACTGTCTACTATATTTGTCACCAGTTTCTAATTTTCGATGTCGGTTGAAATATCACAGTATAGACAGGCAGTGGGTACATTTGCTGCAGCACTTCATTCTAAACACTCAGGTAAATTTGCTCTTTATCAACATCTATTCAAATTTCGTTGTCTGTATGGCAGTTGTGTTTCCATAATGATTTCACTTTTGTTACTGTGCTGTGGAGATATTCATCCTAATCCAGGACCTAAATGCACAAATGCTTTAAGGATAGTCCATCTAAATGTACGTAGTCTTAAGGAGAAATTAGATATTTTAAGAGTTGAACTTGGATGTTATGATGTGATATGTCTAACCGAAACTTGGTTAACTTCCCATACAAATAACATTGATATAAAAATTCCTGGCTTCCATCTACCTTTCCGTAAAGACAGACAAACTCGTGGTGGCGGTGTAGCAGTCTATGTAAAAGATACTATTTGTGCGTTGTTGATGTCTGATTTAGACATAGTCGGACTTGA